GTGGCCCTCGCCGCCTGCTGCGCAGTCGCGCCGCTCTACCACGTGCTGCCGTCGGCGCCGCTGCGTACGCCTGCCTGCCTGCCAGCCTCGTGGTGCCCATCGATTCCTCTCTGTAGGTCACGTGGCCAACGTGGTGCTGGGCCTCGCCGTCGGCTGGTTTGTCTTTGACTACATGCTCGTGCACTCGGTGCTGGCGATCGCGATCACGTACCTGCTCATGCTTGTGGCGCCTCGGTAGGAGACTCTTTGCCGCACCATTGATCTCATGTGCATGGCGTAGCGCGATCGTTGGTCGCCTCGTGGGAGTCGTCTTGTTCGCCTACTTGATCGGGTGCCACTACTACCGCGAGCACTACGAGCCCGACCTGGTCTGGGACTCTGCGCAAATGGTGCTCACGATGAAGCTCACGGGCCTTGCGCTGAGCTACAGCGACGGCGCGCTCCCGGACGACACCAAGACGCCCGCCATGCTGCGCAACCAGCTGCGTGAGATCCCGTCGCTGCTCGAGCTCCTCGGTACGTGTTTTTGAGGTTGAGCGTTGCGTTTGACGATGTATCTGTAGGCTTCATCTACTTTTTCCCAACGTTCCTCGTCGGTCCTGGTTTTGAGTTTCACGAGTACCTCGCGTGGGCGACGACCCACCGCGTTGCGCCGTGGACCGTCCACGTCAAGAACCTCCTTTCGGCCATCGTACGTACCCACCCCGTCCATATCTCCATAGTATCCACATTTTATTTGACGTGTTTGTAGATGTGCATTTCTCTCTTCTTCGTCTCGGACAATTTTCCGATCGATGCAATTGACGCGCCGACCTTCTACCCGGAGCTGCCGTTCGTCGCGCGCTGCCTCTTGCAGTGTCTCTCGGTCGCCCTGTACCGCTTCCGCTTTGTACGTCCACATCGTCGTTGGCGTCTTCCTTCTGACGAGATGTATTCGTGTAGTACATGGTCTGGTCGCTCGCCGAGCTCGGCGGCGCCTTGGCCGGCTACGGCTACTCGGCCGAGCGCAACAAATGGTATAATCTCACATTTCAACCGACCTTTGTCGACGCTCTATCCGTAGGGACGGCTTGACCAACAACAACATTCTCTTTGTGGAGCTCCCCGTCAACATGCGCGTCGCAATCAACGGCTGGAACATCAAGGTCGCGCTCTGGCTCAACACCTGTACGCTGCTTGTCGGCATCTCGCCTCTTGGTTGGATGATTTTTCTATCGTGCTGCTGCTGCTGTGTAGATGTCTACCAGCGCGTGGCGCTGCGCAAGGGCAAGCCGACCGCGTTCTCGACGCTGGCATCGTTCATGGTCAGCGCCCTTTGGCATGGCCTCGCGCCGGGCTACTACATTTTCTTCGTCATGGGCGCCTTGTACATTGAAGTCGCCAAGCGTACGACGACTCGATTCTTGTACATGTGGACTCATGGTCGAATGTAGACATTCGCCGGCGCTACCGCCCGCTCTTCCACTACAGCGAAGACCGCAACGCGCACCCGCACGCGGTCTTTCTCGAGTACTTGACGCCCGGGAAGGCGCACCCGCTCGCGATTGTGTACGATCTCGGAGGCATGGTGTGCACGTGGGTCGCCATGCAATATGCTGGCATTGCGTTTGAAATTCTGGATCTGCCGCGCTGCGTGCGCATCTGGAGCTCGTGGTACTTTGCACCGCCGATCGTCGTCGTCGTCTTGCTGGCCTACTTTACTCTGACCACGCCGCGCCGCGCCGCCAAGGACAAGAAGACCGAGTAGAGCATCCTCCTTTTGGATAAAAACACACAAGAACACGAATCCCGACGGAATACTCAAGGTTAATGGTATGGGAATCGGGTCTACCCGACAAGAGTCGAGTGCGTGACTGGGGACGATGGAAGACCCAACGACACAGATGTGGGAACTTGCTTGGCGGCAGCCACCACACGCTGTCTCGGCCACCCATACCGCGGCGCCGACGACCGGAAGTGCTCCGAGCCCTCCTTGGATAGTACTAGTACGCTGTAAGTATCCTCTTGTACGGAATCGGGTCGCTGGCACTTGTCGCTGCCTACTGCCATCGTTGGTGCAGACAGCGCTCGGTCTGCGCATGACGGAGGTTGACGGGCGCCTTGTCCTTGGAGCGCCCGTCGTACGTGGCTTGCTACGCAGAGCTGCCATGCGACGCTGGCCAACACGACAAGATGTTGCAAGTGAACGCCCTACGATCTGCATGGTCTCGGCCTGCGAAGCGTTGCCTGCCACGGCGCGCGCTCCTCCACCACGCGTAGAGACCACGAGGGTTGTTGGCTGGTACACAGAACGATAGAGTGCAACGTGCATTAGTCCATTTCGGCAGCCTGGGCGAGGAGTAGCGCGTCGAGGCGCTCCTTGTTGCGCTTGGCAATCACGCGCTGGATCATGGCCTTCTCGTGGTCCGTCTTGGTCGCCCAGTCGGTGATGCGCATGAGCGACCCGTCCACCTGCACGACCATGGGCCCGAGGTGGTCGAGCGCGACCGCGTTGCCGCCCGCCGTGACGTTGATCGGCGCGCCGCCGGGCGTCGGCGTCGACGCGGGTAGCGCGAGCATCTCTTGCGGCGTCGACATGCTGTGTGTTCTTGGTCTCTGGCGCGACGCAACTTTGGCGTCCCAATGGCTTGAATTACGGGAAAGTCGAGATTTTCCAGAAACATCCACGGTCACGTCCACCAACGCACACGAGGTGACGACGACTACAGTACCAAGGGTACCGACAATACGGTGCGTCCTGCACTTGTCTTACACACCACGGGTCGTATGTAGTCTATACCCGCGCTTCCACGGCCATGGTCCGCGCGGCGGGAGAGCCAACCGTACGTGAACGGTACTTACAGAAAATACGGTAAAATACAGCTAAACGAACGCAACTTCACAATCGTGGCGACCAATCACAAGCACTCCTTGCCGATCCACCCAAGAAGGGGTGCGATGGCACAGCAGTACTATCTGTTTAATGTCAACTTTCTATCAAGTAGCAACTTTGAGGTGCCGGATACGCTCATGCCACCGTCGCTTCGGTCGCCACACGGCTTTCTGTCCGAGGAGCACAGCTACACAATGGAAGACCCGACGCTGCTCTCATCCAGGAAGGAGACTCCGCGGATCGGGACGGCGACGTATCTCGCGTACCTCGGCGGCGGGCTGGCTCCTCGTGCTCTTCCTTTTGATCGTGCAAGCGCTGTGGCCTCCAGGTCGCGAGCAACCTCTAACTCGGCCACTCGTGCAGCCTCCCGCCGCGCCTCGACGCCAACACGTTCTTGGACCCGACCTCGCAGAATGCGTCGACGCGCAACGACACCATGATTGTGTTCCCGGGCCACGACATGAACGTGCCCTTGGCCGCATCCGCCTTTGCGACCTACCATGTGCAAGTGTACGCGATCTTCGCCGGCGCGAGCGTGCTCATGGTCGTCTTCCGGACGCTGGCCACGTCCTGCGTGCGTCCCGAGGCTTGTTCCACGGGCTTCAGGCCGCGACGCTCGTGCCCTTTGCCGTGCCGCCCGTCTCGAGCCGCGTCTACAACAGCGACATGGTCACGCTCGACACCAAGCTGCCGTTCGCGGCCGCCGCGTTCCTCGCCAACGTCTTCATCGCGGCGTTCGCTTTGGGCACATCCAAGTGGTTTCTGCAGGCGTCGGCGCTCCCGATAAGCGTCGTGCTCTACGGTTACTACTAAACGTCAGTGCCTACTACGTCCAGGACATTGATCGCCTCTCGCGCACGACGCGGGCATCTGCACTTTGTGATGGAAGCGATCACGGGGGCGGTCGTGGTGCGCGCGTTTGGGCTGAAGCAGACGCGGCGCTTCCACATGACTACACGACGCACGTCACCGCGCACCAAGAGGCGAGCTACGTGCACGAGACGCTCCTGCAGTGGTTCTCGCTGCGCATTCTGATGCTGGTGATGCACTCGTCTCGCTGCGCCACGCGCTCTCGCCCAGCATCATTGGCCTCGTCTTCAACTATGCGCTCCTCGTGCCGCCCCACGTCGAGTGCATCGCCAACGTGTGGTCGAGTCTGGCCGCCGCCATGGGCAGCGTCGCTCACGTCTTGACGGACCCGACGGCCCGCGTGTAGATATCGACACACAAGAGTTTCTATCCTCTATAACGTTTTGACTTGCATTTTAGTCGACTCGCGTGGGCTCGTTCATAGTAGCAAAGAGGGTGGGGCTTGGCGAATGTCGCCGTCGTCTCGTGGAGCAACGGGTGTTTGCTTGATCCGGATAATGCGCTGCGCACAGCCTGCCAGCTCAGAATCATCCGGATACAAGAATCGAATCCAACGGGCTCGTGCCACAAAATGGACTCGTGGTGTCATTCTCCAACAAGCCATGGAAGTGTCGGACGACGTCAAGAAGGCGCAGCAGCGCAGTGCACAGAAGAAGTACGCCGCTGCCAACAAGTAGAAGATTGCGGCCAAGAAGAAGGCGTACTACGAGAAGAACCGCGCACAAGCGCTGACGAAGCAGAAGGAATACCGCCACAAGAACAAGGACGACTGCCTGGCCAAGAAAAAGGCGTGGTATATGGCGAATCGGGCGCCTTTAGCCGCCTACTACCGAGCTCGGTACCATGTCCTTGCGATCAAACCGAGTGGTTGTCTCATGTCTTTTCCTAGTCGAGCGCGAAAGAAGGCGATTGCGGCCGGCGAGGTCCCACCGCCAATGCCCAAAATCGCCGATTTCCGAGCTCAACACGAAGCGTCTGGCTGCGTCGCTCCGGCTGCGTCGACGCGCGCGGCCACGCTCGCACCAGAACTCTCCGACGAAGAAGACGACGACGTCCTCCACCCCTTGGCCGCCACCACCAAGAAGGTTGCCATGGTTTCGTTCACAGACGAGCATCCATTTAACATGCGTGAGCGTGGGCCCGAGCCGTGCTGCGACGAGTGTGCGCTTTTTCAGCCGAATGCGCTCACGTCGGCGACCAACACGGTGCTCTTGGCAGGCACGTACATGTGTACGTTCTGCCGCGACTGGACCTACTACCGTCTCCACCGCAAGCTCAAGCGCACCCGCGCCGACGCCCGCCTCGACGCTCTCGCAGCTTGAGCTTTCCATCTCTCTCTATTTTGCATAATGAAGTGTGCTGATGTATCTTCATCCTATTCCTAGACAAGTTGTTTCTGTGCCTTCTACACGATGATCAGCTCGTAGATACTAAAGGACTTGCAGCCGTTCATCATAACTGGACCATGTCGATGCTACAACGCTCGTAAGGAAGGCGTTGATAAATTATGGCAGAGTTAGTTGCTGGTTGCGAGCCAAGGGTGGGTCTGCAGCGAGGACGTCGACGCGCGATGGTGCGGCTTGCGCTGGAGCATGCTCATGACGAAATCCTGTGCATCGACCGAGAGAAGCGCCCACGTCGCTTGCGGGCGCACCATTTGCCCTTGGCGCATGCGTTCCAAGAGCTGGCCTTTGGTCGCTCCTTGGAACGGCGCGACACCGAGGAGGTAGTTGTACAGAAGAACGCCGGCGCTGAAGACGTCGGTGGCGCTCGAGACGGGCAGCGGACGCTCGTAGTCCATTGAAAGTAGCTCTGGCGCGAGGTATCCCGGTGTGCCCCGCACGGCGTCGTGGAGTGCGTTCTTGTGGTCATGTGCACTCGGACGCATCGCGAGGCCAAAGTCAATGAGCACGAGTTGCGTGCAATCATCCTCATGGGTCTTGAAGAGGATGTTCGCCGGCTTGAGGTCGAGATGGAGGACGTCGGCGCCGTGTAAAAGCTCCAAGATGCGCAACAGCGAGCGCATGAGACGCTTCGCAGCCGCTTCCCGCGAGGCGACGTTGGTTGCCGTCAGCGGCGGAAGGCTCCGCATGCGATCGTGGAGCGACCCGCCGTCGTAGCGAGGAAGCACGAGACCGGTGGCCTGCTGCTCTCGCAGATCAAAGGCCTTGACGAGGGTCGGAACATGCGCGCGCAGGGATGGCGACGCCGTCGAGAGGTGGCAGAGGATGGCGATTTCGTTCTCGACGAGGTCCTTCTGGCCAATGACGAGCTTCACGACGAGGTCCGTGGGCGCATTCTGCAGCACGAGGCTGTGCACGGAGGCGCTGCCGCCCGACCCGAGGACGGGCCCGAGGTGGTACTTGGCCAAGAAGGCTTGGGCCACCATCGCCGCCTCGAGCGCCGCCGTCCATGCCGCGCACTGGTCGCGGCTCGACGTGTAAAACGTAAACGCTTGGCCGTCGTCGAAGAGCTGGAAGCAGCTGCCGTCCGTGGCCACGTCAATGCGCGAGAGCGGTGTGATCGATAGGACGTGCGTCGGCGTCGCCTTGTACACGCCAGGGCCCGTCCGTGGAAACCACCGCCACGTGTCTCCGTCAAAGTCGACCCAGCAGTCGGTGGCGCTGGAGGTCGTCGTCTTTTGGCGCTTCCATCGCAGCCACCGAAAGCGCTTGGACGAGTTGCGTTCTTGCAGCACGCCGTGGAGCTCGGGGACCTTGATGTGCACGGCCGTGGTGGTCGGGTGCTGGCTCACGTCCGGCAGCGACAGCGTCAGCATGGGGACCGAGACCGACGACGACCGTGACGACGATGACGCGAACGACGACCGAGTCGCCTCGGGACTCGAGTGGCGCGTCGCCATGCGCATGGGACAGTCAAATGTGAAATGTGAAATGTGAAATGTGAAATGTGGTGGTTGTTATCCGAGACCCTTGCGCGTGGTTGTTGGGATGTTGTTTGGTTGCCAGAGATTCGCCACGTCAAAGGCGCACCCAAAACCGAAATAGAGCACCGGGTTCGACGTACTGCTGGTCTTCTCGACACAGCGACTACTGTACTGCTGCAGCGATATGAGATTTTAACCCTTGAAGCATAGTACAGTACATCATCTTGCAGCCGCGTACTACCGGTATATGTAAAATCGCTAGGAGAGGTCATACGCTGGCTGGTGCCATCGGCGGATGTCGCCGCTTTGAACGGTGCGAGATCCAATGAGCCGAGATGGTCTGCCAAGTGCACGCATGCGCACAGCGTGCACTGATTCGATTGTGAATCAACGGAATCAGTGCACGTACACAGTCCCTTGCATTTGCCTGTTATCTACCTGCATAGAGTAGGATCAACTGGAAAGGCTGTTCTGGACGAAGCGCTCTCGCTTCGTGGCCGAGTCATGTCTTAGTTGGGAAAGGAGCACCCGATTACTGACGCTATCGACATTTCAGTTGGACAGGCGACTGACTGTCAAGAAGTGAATGATGGACGACACTAGCGCCAGGCCGTCCACAGCAGACTCTCTCCAGAGCCCTTCACAGACATGAAGTGCACTGGAACCTTAGTACAAGCTCGGCTATTGGAAAAAGTATACAACGCACGGTAATAAGGACACTGCGCGCCGTCGCTTGTACCTTTGCAACGAATGTAAGATTTTGATGCTGCCGCTTTTTGCATTCAAGGAGGTCGCAGCGTCAAGAAGAGACTACTGCAGGATCTGGCTCTCTAAATCCGTCGATCCATGCGCGCAACCAGTGGGCTTGGAGCATACGTGCGGTCACGTCAACGGGTCCTTGCGTCAAATCGACATGCTTGAAAAAATCAAGTGGAATCGTCGTGGCTGGAAAGACCCCCAGTCGCGGATTCCTAACATCTTTTGTCAAAACTCAACTCTGCAATCCAACGAGGCGGCCACGAGTGTTGGCACGCCAGCAAGTTTGGCGGATGCTCTGGTCGAGAGGTCGTTCAGTTGTTGAAGTGGGTTCAAGAGATCGCTCTCAATCGCGCACGCGGTACAATTACCTCAAAGTACACCCAGCGACTGCCAACTCCTCTGCTCTTCTCGGTACTACCTTCCACGACAAGCCACACGAGGTGGCAACAAATCTGGGTGTATCGAGGCGCTTGAACGAGTTAAATCAACAAAATTCCACAACCAAGTGCGTCCGTTTCAGACTTGCGCGATGGACATTGTCGGCAAGATCGGAGCGTACTTTGCCAACCATGAGGCGCAAATGCGACTCGTGATGCAGCACACACGGGATCGCCAGCGCGTCCCCACGCCGGAGCTGCACGACGACCCGATTGACCGTGCGTCGCGGCTTCTCGACAAGTGCCTCGACTCGTTCGAAGCTTCGGTGGCCGCCCCATTGTCGGCACGATCACCGCTCGCATCGCCACGCGACGCCTGTTCACTCGCGCCACCGCGCCCCGAGACAACACCTCGTAAACCCAAGCGCCTCAAGCGCAAGAAACCAAAGTCCGGGAGCAGATTCTCTGAACGCACTCGTCATGCTTGCTGCTGCGTAGAGTTCCATCGGCGGCCAAGGCCGCCGAGCTCGCGGCCATCAAGCAAAAGCTCGTGGACGACGCCATTTCCGTGACCAAAGAACGCGCGCGGAAAATTCAAGTCGGACCCCTTGCTCCGACACACCATGTCATGTTGTCTTACCATAGATGGACAAGGAGATGCGTTTGAAGGCCGAAGCCGCGCTGGCCGCAGAACAGCAGGCGCGCCGCGAGGCGCAGCTGCTGCAAATTGAGTCCATTCGGCGACAAGCGTTCCGACCCGTGCTGGCGCCGGCGTCACCCAACCAGGTGGCGTCACCACGGCAGCCTGCGCCACCACGCGTGCTCACGGATGCGTGGAGCGAGCGCGCACCACCTCGCCGCCACACCATCTTGGGGCTCCGAAAGCCCGCGAAACAACCTACCCCTAACCTCGTGCGTCTTGCTACACGAGGGTGTGGGAGCCATAGAATCACCGCCGGGTGTAGGCAACCGCCAAGCACAATCGCAGCGCAAGCCTCTCGCACTTGGCAGCCTCCATGCCCCCGCCCAACCACCCGCCGTCCGAGGCGATCCGACCGACAACACCGTCGCCCCGTATTGATCCCATGACCAAGTTTGGGCCAATCCAGGGTCCGTGCTCGACACGATAGAGGCCGCGGACATGATTTGTTTTTCGTATAGACCATGTGCCGAGTGCGATGCCATTTCTCGATCGGCTCGAGCACATGGAGAAATACCGCGCAACGAAAGCATCCGAGGCGGCAATCGAGGCGAAGCACCGCGCCGACGTGGCGGCGGCGCAGGCCGCAGAGCAGCGCCGCATGGACCTGGCGTGCGACGCCAAAGCGCAGCAAAACCTCGACTTGGATCGCCAGCGACTGGCGCTGGAAGCCCAGAAAAAGGCGCTCGAAGCCTCGCTGCAAGCCTTGCACGTACGACACCACCATCGCTCGTCCACACGTTTTATCTATCGACGTAGACGGAGTCGTCGCAGCTGCGGTCGGAGCGCCACAAAATTGCGATGGAGCGGCGCGTGGCCCGGCGGGCGGTACCAGAGATTTCAATTTCAACCGGTTGGTGGGAGGACATGGTGTCGTAGGCGGTCAACAAGTCCAACAACAGTGATGACGTCCCTGCGTCCTCCTCGGACCTCCAAGGGTGGGTGCAGGACGAGACGGACCGGGCAAATCAAGCCGCCAAAGCGAGGGCCGAGGCCAAGCGCCGTGTGCAGATGCGCCGTGCTCCACCCGCCAGTGCCGGCCCCGAGACCGTCGACGACACCACCGCTTCATCGACGCCCCGGCAATGGCGTGTAAGTCCGCTACCCCAGCCGCGATGGGACGCAGCGTTTTTCGGCTACAGCAGTGGCTCCGACACCGAGTAACACGAGAAAAGAAAGGCGGCAGCGCACTTGTGTACATGTCGCTTAGCATTCTGCACGGGTGTCGTTCTTTGTCTCTGTCTCGACAAAAATCTCGATCGCAATCGGACTTTCCACTTGTGCCGACTCGCCGGGCGGCTGGTTCTGGTCCATCATGGCGTCGGACGACGGGGTCGAGTCAAAGCGGAGCTGGTCCAGGACCTGCGGACACACGGACCGGATGAGGTCGTACGAGAGCGTGAGCACGTCTTGCTGGCTCTGCGCCGACGTGCGCTCGAAGATGCCCTCGGCCGTCATGACGACGAGGAGGTTGTGCAGTGCGTGCAGCGTCGTCTCGTACACTTCGAGCGCCGCGACCGACGTCGCCGCGTTCGGCGGCAGCGCGAGCTTGGTCGCGAGACGCCGCAGCACGTTGAGCCAGAGCGTGTGGAAGCAGTCGAGGCCCGCGAGCGTGTGGATGTTGTACAAAAACACCTTGGAGAGGAGCGTCGTCGAGTATAAGCTCAGATCCTTCGAGTCTTTCGCGGGTCCGTTGCTGCTAGCCACATGGCGCCATGAGTACCATCCTACCATCCTCCGATTGGTCTGTTGTCGCACCGAGACCGGTCGTCCAGCGTGTAGATGATCTCTTCAAAGCAGTCCTTCCACACCAGCGGTGCAATCGGGTGGCCTGGCAGCATCAGACTCCGGTACAAACAGTCCCACGCCGCACGAGCAACCGCGGCGCGCTCGTCCTGGAGGTACGAGAGCAAGATGCGCATGAGGTCGATCCAGCACCCGTCGGCCGCGTCGCTACGCCAGCCGCGTCAGTATTCTAGTATCAATGTATCAATCGGTAGAGGATAATAGTACCTATTGGCGACCGCGTACAAAAGCTGGAGCGCGTCCACTTCCAAACCCGTGCGCTGGTTGACGAGACGCATGCACACACCTGTCCAGAGCCCGACAATCTCTTTTGGCCACCTGCACAAGACAGCCGCATGGACTCCGACAACGCCGCTATGGAGGAGGATGTTACGTACGCCGTCGGCGACGAGCTGCTTGAGCGCATCGAGGGTCGCGGGCCATCCGTTCGGGGTACTGCGCGACGAGCCCGAGGAGGCTAGGCATATATCCTTCACGCTCCTGTCCTCTTGAAAGAGAGATAGACATACTTGAACAAGGTCTCCCACGTCGAGAGAGGCATGTCGTGCATGTACATGGCGTTGGCCTTTGACGAGCATGTGCAAGCCCGCGGCCAAGCGCTCCGAGAGCACTTGCAGCGACGGCGCCTCGAGCTCCTACCCATCATCCATCCATGCATATATATCAATGTATCAA